GACGAGAGAGGAAGCCATGAATGACACACGTACCGTGAGAGAGATGCATCACTATGCTTGTGATGGAGGCTGTGAGAGGTACTGCAGGGAAATGCCCTCTGCTAATCAAATGCTAAAGTCTAGGACACACTAGCGATTCTGTACGCTGCCCGGCAGCATATATTTTCGCTCACGATTTTAGAACGCCGTACGAATTGCGCGTACAGCTGGACACACACTGCGATTTTGTACGCTGGCCGTGTTACATGCACAGGTACATGTACATGTACGTGTAGCATGTACAGTAACGGGTGAAAATAAATAAAGTCAGAACAGTGTGTGTTAGGCGGGAGGTTGTACATATCCAAATAGAATTCAAATCAAATTTGCTAAAATTCTACAAATAGCCCATCTATAAATAATATATAAGTAATTAAGGGCTGTTGTCATACTTATATGCACAACACTGCCATACGAAATCGAAAAAAACAATGAAAATAATTCGATTTATTCAGCTATTTATACAGGGTGAAATTACCAGTCATCTCCAGTAGTTGCACGCACTGTCGATTTTACGCACGCGATCGAAAACCGGGCGGAAATATTCAACATGTTGAATACGAGCGATGCGCCGGGCGTATGCGATCGCGAGCGAAATACGCTGCCGTGAGACCGGACACACCGCGCGGACCCGGCACCGTATTTATCGATCGCAAGCGGCCAGCGTAGAAAATCGCGCAGTGTGTCCTAGGCTTAAGCGTTGACACCGTAGCGGCAGGAAAGGTGAAAGAGGAAGCTAAATACGGGTGGGAGGAGGAATTTACATACGGGGAGAAACGGGAAGATGAACTACATGCGGAGAGGGAAGCAGAGAAAGTGGAAGAGGCAAAGGAGCTATGTGAGAACAGGAAACGAGGAAGAGGAGCAGTAGAAGGAGGAGGAGGAGGAGGAGGAGGAGGAGGAGCAGTAGAAGAAGGAGGAGGAGGAGCAGTAGAAGGAGGAAGAGGAGGAGCAGTAGGAGGAGGAGAAGGAGGAGGAGGAGGAGCAGTAGAAGGAGGAGGAAGAGGAGCAGTAGAAGGAGGAGGAGGAGCAGTAGAAAGAGGAGGAGGAGGAGCAGTAGAAGGAGGAGGAGGAGGAGGAAGAGGAGGAGGAGGAGCAATAGGACTAGAAGGAGGAGGAGGAGCAGTAGAAGGAGTAGAAGGAGGAGGAGGAGCAGCAGTAGGAAGAGGAGGAGGAAGAGGAGGGATGCGGGAGAAGGAAGCTACGTACTCAGCTAGCTGCTGCGCCTGCTTCTCCAGCATGTCAGCGTGAGAGAGGCTGTCGTAGACTAGACTTGCCAGGTCCTCCTCTGCCTTTAGACTGCTCGACTTCTCCTCCAGCGGCTCCCGCAGCGGCTCCAGGTCCTCCTGCTGCGAAGCCACCGTCTGCAAGCAGGTGACAGTCTAGGTCCAGTGTTCCTTTTGTCCTCCTCTTAATCTCCTCTCTGCTCCCACTCCCTTCTCCTTACCGTATTGCTCTTCTTCCCTCTACATTCACCTCTGAAGATTCTAGAGTGTCTGGCACCATTCAGAAGGACACTAGCTTGCTTTATTAGCTGTTATTGTCATCTCCTCCTCCCCCTTCTCCCCCTCTCTCTACCCTCACCTCCTAGGAGTCCCTTGCACCATTAAGAAGGATACTGGTTTGCTCTATTAGCTGTTACTGTTACCTACACCTCCCCCTTCCCCCTCCCTCTATAAACTCATCTCGGAGGAGTCTCCTTCATCCTCCAGCATGGCTCTGGCTTCCTCTATCAGCTATTATTGTCACCCCTTCTCCCCCCCCCCTTCTTCCTGCTCCTTCCCCCTTCCTCCCTCACTGTGTGCTCACATCGTAGGAGTCTCTTGCTTCCTCCAGCAAGGCCCTGGCTTCCTCTATCAGGGCTCTGGCTTCTTCTATCAGCTATTATTGTCACCCCTTCTCCCCTCCCTCACTGCAAGCTCACCTCGTATGAGTCTCTTGCCTCCTCTAGCAGGGCTATGGCTTCCTCTATCAGCTTCTCTGCGCTGGAGACATCTTCATCTATCATCGCGACGTTGGCTTCAATCATATCTACATTCTCCTGTGGAAGAGAGAGAAAGATTCTAGATTAGTGGGGAAAGTGAAGGTAAGAGATGGACGGAGCGAGCGAGAGTGGGAACGAGGAAGTGAGACAGGGGGAGAGATAGAGAGAGAGAGAGAGAGAGAAACGGGGGAGAGGGAGGGGAGAGATAGAGAGGGGGACGAAAGAGAGAGAGAGAGAGAGAGAGAGAGAGAGGGAGGGAGAGATGAAAAGACCAGGGGATAAATGGATTAATTAAAAAAAAAACCACCAGCTTAGGCAACTGATAATACTGCTTGAGGTAACGAACGACCACTCACACTGATATGCGGGTTGTCTGCCGGTCACCATCCTTGCCGGGTACCTCGGTAATACCGAGGACCACTCACCTGTTATGGGGTTGTTGGCGTCACACGCTGCGTACCTGGGTAACGACGACACTCACCTGGTGACGTGGGTTGTTGCCGTCACACGCTGCGACCTTTGGTAACCGACGACACCCACTCACCTGTATGGGCGTTGTTGCCGTCACACCTGCGTACCTGGGTGAACGACGACCACTCACGCTGTATTTGGGTTGTTTGCCGTCACACCCTGCGTACCTGGGTAACGACGTCCGACTCACCTGTATCTGGGGTTGTTTGCGGTTGGCGTCGGTTCTTGTGGCGGGCTAGCGGGGCCAGAACTCTGCCTCTGCCGCCTTGCAGACTGTGTTGTTCATCATCCTCACGCAGCAGACCGTGAAGGGCGTCCGTGTCGTTCTTATCGTCGATTGCATCGCGCAGTCCCAGACCCCGCGATGAAGTACTCAGGTTACGCGCGCGGCGCCTCCATCACTATAAAGCTACGCATAATCACCGATTCACACACGCCTGCTGCTGCCATCACTATAAACACGCATAATCGACCACATGTATTTAACCAACACGCGCTGCTGCCTGCTGCTGTGCGCTGCTGCTGCTGCTGTGCTGCCATCACAGATAACACGCGATAATCACCATGTCACACACGCCTGACTGTGCTTGCTGCTGCTGTTGCCTGCCCATCACTATAACACGCATAATTCACCATGCTCACACCACCGTGCTGCTGCTGCTGCCTGCGCTGCCATCACTATAGACACGCAATACCCATCCCATGTCACACACCGCTGCTGCTGCTGCCTGCTGCTGCTTGGGCTGCCATCACTATAACACGCCATTAAGTCACCATGTCACACAGACGTCTGCCTTGCTGGCTGCTGCTGCTGCTGCGCCGATCCACTATAACACGCATAATCACACATGTCACAACGCTGCTGCTGCTGCTGCTGCGCTGCGCCATCTACTTAACACGCAATATCACCACTGTCACAACAACGCTGCTGCTGACTGCTGCTGCTGCCATCACTATAACACGCATAGATCACCAAGTCACACACGGCTGCTGGCTGCGCTGCGCTGCCTTCTGCTGGCCATCACTATATACACGCTAATTAATGCACCATGTCACACACGCTGCTGCGTGCTGCTGCTGCTGCTGCTGCTGCTGACTGTGCTTCGCCTTGTTATTGCTGCGCTTATTGCTTGCTGCTGCTGCTGCTGCCTGCTGGGCTGCTGTGCGCTGGCTGCTACTGCTGCTGCTGCTGCTACTGCTGTGACTGCTGTTATTGTGCTGCTGTTATTTTGCTGCTGCTGGCTGCTGGCTGCTGCTGCTGCCATCACTATAACACGCCATACGTAATCACTGTTACAACCACACCACCTGTCACACACGGTAAGACACTGTCATCACTGGTAACAACCGGGACAGGCCCTGATCACCACACAGGTAGACACTGTCATCACTGTACAGCAACCACACCCTGTCACACACAGGTAGACACTCGTCATCACTGTACAACCCACACCCTCCCTGATCACATGACACAGGTTAGACCACTGTCATCACTGTAACAACCACAACCTCTGTCTCACACACAGTAGATCACTGTACATCACTGTAATTAAACAACTCACACCGACCTCACTGATACACACGTCACAGGACCAGTAGCACTGTCATCACTGTAACAACCACCACTTAGTCACACACAGGTAGAACACTGGTCATCAGCTGCTAACAACCACACCTTGTCACACACAGGTAGACACTGTGTCATCCTGTAAAACCACACCTTGTCACACAACAAGTAGACACTGCGATCACTGTAACAACCACACCCTGTCACACACAGGTAGACACTGCTCACACTGTACAACCACACCCTGTCACACACACGGTAGACACTGTCATCTGGTAACAACCACACCTCACCCGTAACCGGTACAAAACTGGCACACACAGGTAGACACTGTCATCACTGTAGACAGACCACTACCCTGTCACATCACAAGGTAGACAGCTGTCATCACTGTAACAACCACACCCTGTCACCACACAGTACACTGTCATCAACGCGCGCGCGGCAGACGGTGCCACATCACGGCAGATATCTATTTTTGGAGGACATTCTACCAGCTTTCACAACTGTGTAACAATATAATGCAATCCATCCGTTGTCACTGCAACTGAATCAATTCCATCACTTGTCACGGCAACTGAGTACATTTAACCGGTGGTCGCGATTCTAGTCGGGGAGCCATCGAGCGGTTGCCGTGGTAACGGCAGCATCTGCGCGCACGTACCCATTTCGGCCATCGCTAGTTCGTCTGCGGTGTCGGCGTGCGAGGACGAGAAGTTAGCCATGCGGACGATGTCCAGCACTCGCTCAGCGTGAGCGAGGATGGCGGATGCATCGTAGCTAGACACTCCCTGTAAGATGTCTGCCCGCAGCTGCTGCATCACCTTGTACGACTCTGTCAACAATAAACAACAATAATATAAACACCCACTACTACTATTACTACTACAAACAATAAAAATAGCAACAACAAACAACAATTATTAATAATAATAAAAATCACAACGAGCAAAAACGGATCACCGACCACACCGACGACGCATGATCCACGACCTACCGCCACAGCCACCACCACCACCACGACACCGCGATCAGCCAGCCCCACGACCAGGCACGACCACCGCGCACCAGACGCCAGCCCCGCCACCGCCGCGCCATTACCGCCAAGGCCACCACCGAGCCGAGCCACCGCCACCGCGACGACCACCACGACCCACCACCATCACCACGGACCACCACCCCACCACCACACCCACCACCACCACCCACCACCCAACCACACACCACCGAACGAACAACGACAACGCACAACACCTACCACTCACCAACAACACAACATACAACAACAACAACAAGCAACAACAACAACAACAACAACAACAACAACATCGTGCGTACATATGACAGTATGCACGTGCACACTACCTGCTGGCCTCTGCCGACCGTCTCTCTCATCATCATCTCCACGGCGACGCGCTCTTCCTTCACCACCATCACCTTCTCGTTGACGTTCGTCGATTCCGCCACCGTGCCTGCAGGCAGCAGTAATAGACAGCGCGCTCACCAGTGCCGCCTAGTGCCGCCGCGACGAGCAACAACCCATCGCCCGCTATATCTATTATTTTATATCTAGATAGAATATGCCATCAGAGAAAATCTATGCTAAGCCAGGCGCGAGATGTAACCAATGTAATCACAGACAGGGGGGCGGCTATGTACTCATACAGGCGGAGATGTGAACAATGTACACAGACACGGGTCGCGCATATGCTATCATAACAGCGCGGAGAATGTGAACAATGTAACCACAGACAGGAGTGCGCTATGTACTTCTCTACAGGCGAGAGTGTGACAATGTAACACAGACAGGGGGCGCTATGCTACTCATACGAGCGGGGATGTAACAATGTAACACAGACAGGGGGTGCTATGCTACTCATACAGGCGGGAGATGTAACAATGTAACAAGACAGGGGGCGCTATTCGTACTCATACACGGCGAGAGTAAGCAATGTAACACAGACAGGGGGCGCTATGTACTCATACAGGCGGACGATGTAACAATGTAACACAGACAGGGGGCGCTAGTGTACTCATACCAGGCGGAGACTGTAACAATAGTATAGCACAGACAGGTGGCGCTATGTACTCTACAGCGGAGCATGTAACAATGTAACACAGACAGGGCGCTATGTCTCTCAATACAGGCGGAGATGTAACAATGTAACACAGACAGGGAGGTGCTATGTACTCAATACAGGCGGAGATGTAACATGTAACACAGACCAGGTGCGCTATGTACTGCATACAGCGGAGATGTAACCAATGTACACAGACAGGGGTCGCTATGTCACTCATTACAGGCGGAAGGATAACAATGTAACACAGACAGGTGCGCTATGTAGCTCATACAGGCGGAGATGTAAACAATGTAACCCAGGCCAGGGTGGTCTATGTACTCATACAGGCCGGATAATCGTAACAATGTAACACAGACAGGTGCGCTATGTTACTCATTCAGGGCGGGAGATGTAACAATGTAACAGCAGACAGGTGGCGCTATGTACTCATACAGGCGGAGATGTATGTACATGTAACACACGACAGGGGTGCTGCTAATGTACTCATACAGGCGGAGACATGTACACAATGCTAACACAGACAGGGGGTCGCTATGTCATCATACAGGCGGAGATGTGTAACAATGGTAACAGCAGACAGGCGTGCCCATGTACTCATACAGGCGGAGCATGTAAACAATGTAACACAGACAGGGGGCGCTATGTACTCATACCAGGCGGAGATGTAACAATGTAAACAGACAGCGTGTCGGCTACTGTACTCATACAGGGCGGAGATGTAACAATGTAACACAGACAGGTGTGCGGCTGATGTATTCATACAGGCGGAGATGGTAACAATGTAACACAGACAGGGGCGCTACTGTACTCATACAGGCAGAGACTGTGTAACAATGTACGACAGACAGGGGGCGCTATGTACTCATACAGCCGCGAGAGTGTAACGAGATGTAACACAGACAGGTGGTCGCTATGTAACTCAGTACAGGCGGAGAATGTAGACAAATGTAACACAGACAGAGGCGGCTATTACTCATATCACAGGCGCAGAGATGTGACACAATGTAACACAGACAGGCGGGGCGTATGTACTCATACAGGCAGAGATGTAACAATGTAACACCAGACAGGGGGCGCGCTATGTACTCTACAGGCGGAGAGTATGTAACACATGTAACAGCAGACAGGGGCGCTATTACTCATACAGGCGGAGATGTAACAATGTAACACAGACAGGTGCGCTTGTCTCATCAGGCGCGAGATTTAACAATGTAACACAGACAGCGGGCGCCTATGCTACTCATTACAGCGGCGGGATGTAACAATGTAACACAGACAGGGGCGCGCTTAATGTACTCGATACAGGCACAGAGATTAACAATGTAACACAGCACAGGTGCGCGGCTATGTACTCATACAGGCGGAAGATGTAACAATGTAGACACAGACAGGTGCGCTATGTACTACATACAGGCGGAGATGTACACAATGCTAACACAGAACAGTGCGCTACGTACACATAAGGCGGGATGTACAATGTAACACAGACACGTGCCGCTTCTGTACAAACATACAGGCGAGATGTAACATGTACACAGGACACGGCTGCGCTATGCGTTACTCATACGGCGGAGATGTAACAAATGTAACACGACAGGTGCGCTACTGTAACATACAGGCGAGATTGTAACAATGTAACACAGACATGCGGGCGCTAATTGACTCATGAACAGGCGGAAGATCTGTAACAATGTAACACTAGACAGGTGCGCTATGTACTCATACAGGCGGAAGATGTACAATGCTAACAGCAGACAGGTGCGCGCTCATGTACTCATACAGCGGAGATGTAACAATGTAGACAGCAGGACAGGTGCGCCTATGTCACATACAGGCGGGGATGTAACAATGTAACACAGACAGGGGAGCTAGGTACTCATAGCAGGCTGGGATGTAACAAGGTAACACAGACAGGGGGGCGCTAACATGTACTCATACAGGCGCCGAGATATTAAACAATGTAACACAGACAGGTGGCGCTATGTACTGCATACAGGCGGGAGATGTAACAATTAACACAGACAGGGGGGCTATGTACTCATACAGGCGAGATGTAACAATGTATACACGATGACAGGTGCGCATGTTACTCATACAGGGCGGAGATGTAACAATGTAACACAAGGGGCGCTATGCTACTCAATACAGGCGGAGATGTAACAATGTAACACAGAACAGGTGCGCGTATGTACTCATACAGGCGGAGATCTAACAATGTAACCAGACAGGGGGCGCTATGTACTCATACCAGGCGGGATGATAAACAATGTGAACACAGACAGGGGGCTTGTAAGTT